ATATATATATATACATATATCACGTACGTATCTCGCTCTTTCTCTCTATCTCTCCGTCGCTAATACTGTCAATCGGCATCTGAAGCGCGATCGACAGATTTGTTTGAAACGTAATTTTATCCATGTGCAACTTTCTAACTCCGTGCGCCAGGACGAAAATGGATTTTCGCTGTACAAATAGAGGCTTCCTTCGGAAAGCGCGCATAACTTCTCGGTATTTTCGGTACGCGAGTTTTCAATACGCGAAGAGAAAGAAGAAGTGCCTGCATATATAGAATCCATATAAATTCATAAGAATGCAAACTCTTGTTGCAGAATTGTATCAATATTTCAAAAGAAAAATTTTGAAACGCGATAACATCGAGACAGCCAAATGCGAATGCATTTTCGCTGTACGCATACGAGATGTATTATAAGATATGGGAATTACGGATCTTTGATGAAATTTCAAGCCGAAAGTTTTCTCTAGTACAAAAAGATAACGAAATATTTTAAATGAACGTTTTCATGACTTGAGTTATATATGTCATAATTGGATAGAAATACTCAATTTTTTAAAATTATGTAAAATTTTGATTGACCGCTTAGCCGGCTCTAAATTTATTAAAAAATAATAATGCTATATTTCACTTTGTAAAACGTATTAATTTTTAAAGCGCTTTCGTTTTACAGTACTTTTAATACGGGGAAACAAAGTTCGGTGAAAACTTTTGCTACAATGCTACATATTTTCGGCAGGCTTAGTAGACAGCAACGTTCGATACGAATGATAAAGAGTTGAAAGGCACGTTACCTTTTGATAGCTGGTTGCACATTCTTGAGCAAAGAAAATGCAGTGTGACGCTGATTCGCTTTTTCGCGCACACGCTTACTGGCGACGTTCGCAATTACGAATTTATTTTGTTGCGTTAGTCGTGAACGCATATCGGCGATCAAAGGCGATCAAAGGCGAGTTCGGAGTCGTTCACGCGCAGAGTCACGCGGTTTTTGAAGAAAATTATATCCGTGCGTCGTTACGACTCCGAGTGTTTCGTTTGGTGAGCAAACCGCGGGACACCGTGTTAACACGCATATACATATATGTATGTATCTGTGCCGCTGTGACAATATGTTTCACCCCGGCCACTTTACTATAAGTCAGCTTCTGAGCTTTTGCATCTCGTCTACCGCAGCTTCTAACACTCGAAACGTGTTTTACACCTCGATAGAGATTTTGATTTGGCTTTCCTCTCTTTGTTGCGCACGCGTCTGTTTCGCGCAGGTGACTTACCAAAGTGCTCGCTCACCAAGTATCACCGCAAGCCTATATCAGCTTTCGTGAATCCGTGTTGTGCAACTTTCGCATCACGTCGGTATCGCGAAGCCTTTTGTTTCTCCGAGCCAAGCCCAACTGCGCCTTTTATATTAATATCTCTCTTCTTGTCGATCTTGCTCTCTTTCTTTTTCTCTCTTTCTTTTCTATCTTTCTCTTTATATCTTTCTCTTCAGTCTCTCCGTTTTGCTCGCAAAGGAGGAAAGATTCATTTGTCTTCACATTTATCTCGCGAAAATGAACGAAAAGCTTTCAGATCGGACATTAGCATCGGCAACTTTGTTACAGCGCGATTTCTGCTTCTTCGCTCTCGCAATATTCTTAATAGGAAGGCGACAATGCAGTTTTTCCGATCGGTATTTTGATCGTTTATTAATGTAAGGCGACGGTCTCTCTTTAATCGAGCCGCGCAACGGTCCTCGATACTAACAATGGCTGGTTTTTCTGACACGCTCCCAATAGTAGAAACAGAGGAAAAGTGTAAAAGAAAGAAAGAAAGAAAGAACGAACGAAACATTTTGCAGTTATCCAACAACGAAACGTCGTCGTTTGGGAACGTCGCCGCAAGCTGCGTCATCGGCACAACTTTTACACACTACCACAGTCCAACACCCTTCTCC